AGAAGAGAATTGGGACAGCCCTTCCTGGGGACGCTTTTCCCTTTATCCAGGCTCTGATTTCATGGAAATCCCCCCCTTTTTTTTTGGCAGGTACGAGGATGAGATCAACAAGCGGGCGGCGGCCGAGAACGAGTTCGTGGTGCTCAAGAAGGTGGGCCAGGGGATTTTTTTGGGATGCTTTGGGTGGGAAAGAGACCTTAAAATCCCACCCCATCCCACCCCTGCCGTGGGCTGGGACATCTCCCACCATCCCAAGGCCGCTCCAGCCCGGCCCTTGGGCTCTTCCAGGGGTTGGGGCCTCGATTATTCCTGATTACTCCCTGGGATTGCAGCTCCTGCCCCGGCTCCACCTTCACTTCCCATCCCTATTCCCGCTTTTCTCCGGCCCTGCCGGAGCTTCCTGAGGTGCCATCCCGGGAATTCCCCATCCCACCTGGCAGAGGAGGCTCCGAGATGCCCTCAGGGTGGGAGGAAAGGGGAGGGTGACACATCCCAGGGGGGGATTTTGGTACCTGGGGAGACTTTTCCCGAGGTTTCCTTGGGAACAGGGATCCAGGGGGATCCTTGGGATCATCCCCACCACTGGAATCAGACCCTGGGGGGTCAGTTTGAGACCCTGGAGCATCCCTGGGGGGGCTCCTCATTCGGGACCCACCGGAGCTTTTAGGGGGGACTGAGCAGGCAAAGCTCCTTGAGTTATCCCTGGATTTGGCTTATCCCTGGATTTGGTTTATCCCTGGGTTGGGTTTATCCCTGGGTTTGGTTTTTCCCAGGATGTGGACGCCGCCTACATGAACAAGGTGGAGCTGGAGGCCAAGGTGGACGCCCTGACGGACGAGATCAACTTCCTGAGGACTTTCCACGAGGCGGTGAGGAGCGTTCCTGATTCCCGGGAAACCCAGGGGAGGGAGGGGATTGGGAATGGTGGCTGGGAATGGCGGTGGGCTGGGAAGGGGCGGGGGATTCAGTGGGGACACTGGGGGCACTGGTTGTTGATGACTTGGGTGGAATTCTCCTAATCAGTGACGATTTAGATGGAATTCTCCTGATTGTCGACGGTTTGGGTGGAATTCTCCTAATTAGTGATGATTTAGATGGAGTTCTCCTAATTACTGACTACATGGGTGGAATTCTCCTGATCAGTGATGATTTGGGTGAAATTCTCCTAATTATTGATGACTCAGATGGAATTCTCCTAATTATTGATGACTTAGATGGAATTCTCCTGATTAGTGATGATTTAGATGGAATTCTCCTGATTGTTGATGGTTTGGGTGAAATTCTCCTGATTAGTGATGACTCAGATGGAATTCTCCTAATTGGTGATGACTTAGATGGAATTCTCCTAATTGGTGATGACTTAGATGGAATTCTCCTTCTTATGGATGACTTGGATGGAATTCTCCTGGTGCTTGTTGATTTTGGGTGGAATTCTCCTGATCAGTGACTATTTGGGTGGAATTCTCCTGATTATGGATGACTTGGATGGAATTCTCCTGATTACTGATGATTTTGGGTGGAATTCTGACTGTTGATGATTTTGGGTGGAATTCTGACTGTCGATGATTTTGGGTGGAATTCTGACTGTTGATGATTTCGGATGGAATTCTGACTGCTGATGATTTTGGGTGGAATTCTCCCTCTCCCCTTTCCCTCCTCGGCCCCTCTCTCTCCGAAAGGGAGGGATCTTTTGGATCTGGGATCGAGGCGTGAGCTCACGTGTGTGTGTGTGTGTGTGCTGATGGGGGTCGTTTTTATTCTTCCCCGCAGGAGATCAACGAGCTGCAGGCGCAGATCTCGGACACCTCGGTGGTTCTGTCCATGGACAACAGCCGGAACCTGGACCTGGACGGGATCATCGCCGAGGTGAAGGCGCAGTACGAGGACATCGCCAACCGCAGCCGCGCCGAGGCCGAGGCCTGGTACCAGAGCAAGGTGTGAGGGGGGGACACACAGCCCAGATCCTGAGGGTCCAGGGACACTTCCAGGGCCTGGAGGGGCTCCAGGAGAGCTGGGGAGGGATTTGGGGATGAGGGGATGGAGGGGCAGCACACGGGGAGTGGGTGCCTGCTGCCAGAGGGGGGATATTAGGAGGGTAATTCCAGTTTGGGGAGGGGCTGGGATGGAATTCCCAGAGAAGCTGTGGCTGCCCCTGGATCCCTGGGAGTGCCCAAGGCCAGGCTGGATCCCCCTGGGATGGTGGGAGTTGTCTCTGCCCATGGAATGATGGGATGGGATGGGATGGGATGGGATGGGATGGGATGGGATGGGATGGGATGGGATGGGATGGGATGGGATGGGATGGGATGGGATTTAAGGTCCCTCCAACCCGACCCATTCCAGGATTCCATGATTCTGGAGCCGGGCTGGGAGAGCTGGGAATGTCCAACCTGGAGAAGGGGAAGGATCCAGGGAGAGCTTGGGAACCACTTGCAGGGCCTGGAGGGACCATCCCAGGATGGTGGGAGGGGGGGTTTGGGATGGGATGGGCTTTAAGGTCCCTCCAACCCGACCCATCCCAGGATCCCACAGCTCTGCCAGCGCCAGGAG